GTAAATGGCGAACTCTGAACACCGCTAGGAAGGCACGCGCGCGCTGGAAAGACAGCGGATTTTCACGCACGAAGACCTCGAGCGGCGAATATCACGGGGGACCTGAAGTGCAGGATTAATGGCGCGTTGGATCAGGTGTCGAGCGCGAAGGATCACGCTGCATGGAGGTGCGCATCGATGACGAAGGTTGGCTGGATTGGGCATTGCGCTCGGACCGTAGTTGCCGGAAGTGGTGGCACCTTGCATGTTGAACCACACTACCAAGCATTCCAAAGTTAGGTGTGACGGACGTTTAGAAAGAGCAGTAGAGGAAGAACAGTAGAGATGCCGTGCGAGTGCATGTTCGCGGAGAATTATCGCCCTATCATATGTATGCACCAGTCCCGAATGCGATATATGCAGCTAGGTCAAGCCACTATCTCCACGTGAGCACGCGAGGTAATCAATTCCTCTACTTTTGTGAATCCAGCGCCTCCCTTGAATATGGATATGCCCAACGCCGCTCCCACGCGGTGATGCTACTCAATCTGGCCATGCCAGGCGCCTGCTATTAAAAATACATGCAAATTACAGTGAAACCAATGGTTGTGATTATGGGAATTGTCGGCTATGCGTCGTCCGGTGGGTTGTTGAAGAAGGCGAATCGTATCCTGTGGAGCTGGGGAAGTTAGTTATGCTTCGTCTGAAGAGTGTTGGGGTGCATACCGAGGGGAGCTTTGGAATGACGACTGCTATGGTCGCAAAACAGTTGATGAGGAAATACGTCAGATTGTAATTCGTGTAGTGCGTGCTGACGAGAAACAGCACAATGGGTACGCTGAGAAGGAACTTCTTGGCTGGTGTGTATTGTTCGCCGTTGTCAATCTGCTCCCACATGTTCAAGTTGTCGTAGGCACCCGAGTTGAAGTCAAAGGGCACACCGCGCACGTAGTGGAACATGAGGTAGGATCCCGCCACGTACGAGAGGTTGACTAGGGTCCATGATGCTTCTTGCGACATGCCGGGGATGATGTCAAACAGAATCTTGCCGAAGAAGATGAGGACAAAGTGGATAGCCCAGGCGCCTGGAGGTGTTAGCCTGAGATACAGAATAGCAGCATATCATCTCTGTCTCGTGTGATATGTATGCGCGGTATCTCGTGCTCACCCTTTGCATTCACCCATTCGGCGTTGAGGTTGGGCAGGGCGGACTGGTCGCTCAGCTGCTCCAGAGACTCGGGGGGCTCTTTGTAGACAAGACTACTGCTACGTCGCCTCCTCGCGTCTTTTGCAGCATCCAGCGACATCTTGGAGTAGGACGAGGACGAGGGCGAGTCTGATGGGCGAGACCGCGGGTCGCCAGCAAAGCTCAGGCGGGAGGTGCGATTGAGGAGTATGGGTGACAGTTTGGCGGTATTGCTGGGTTCGTCGGGCGGCCGGGCGGTGGAAGAGGGGGATATATAATCGCGTGCGCGGGCTGAGGCTATGGGCGAGCTGCCACGGGCAATGGCATGTCAGTGAGGTCCTAAAGGAGCAAGGCGGCGACGTGGGCTTTCAGGGTCTTCTTACTGAGTACGCAATACCTTCCGGGGCGTCCGAGCTTTTGGCGTTGAGCGATTGGCGCAGAGAAGGGCGTGTAGACGGTAGCAATATGGCGAGGCAGCGGGCAGAGAAGAGGGAACTGTTGGCAGAGGAGGAGGGAGTGAAGCCTCAGTCGGCAGGCGTGAAGACGGAGGCGTGGCAGGTCCACATGATGCTCCCAAAGACCGTGTTCCTAGCAATCACCGAGGCCGTGCCCTGAGCGCAACCATACAACTCTAGAACCAGACACTACCACCTCCGACCGCCAAAGACATTCCAACCACCACCCTTTTCACCACCATGGCCTCGGAAGCGCCGCCCCCGATGGAGCCCAACGCCCTCGCCCACGATGCACCGCCCGTCGATGCACCCGATGCGACGCAGAAGCCCGTCAAGCGCTCGTGGAGGTATGACGCGCCGACGGATTAAATGCAGTCCCCAGCTAATTTGCATAAAAGACGAAAATACCGTAAGATGCGTATCAGGTTCGAAGAGGCCATGAACGACAGCGACTCCCTCATCAAGCAGGAGTGGAAGGCCATGGGCACCGCCCGCCGCCTGCAGGAGAACAACGACCAGATCCTCGACATCCTCCTCGAGCTCAACGAGCAGACACGCGTCAACCCGCGCCTGCGCTTCGACCTGCGCAACCTCTCCGCCGCCGACACTGCCGTGCCCTCGCTGGAAGCCGTCCCCGATCCAGAACTGGTGAAAGCGCAGCTGCAGACGCTGAGAGATGACCTGGCCGCCAACACCATTACCCCCGAGGAGTACGCGACACGGGCCGACCAACTGCACTCGTCGCAAGCCATCCAGCAGACGCTCAAGTCGCTCGCCAGCCTTGAAGCCAAAGTCCCCCACACGACGCGCGCCGACCTGCCCGACCACCCCGTCGAGGGCATCGACCTCAGCGAGCATGCGCCGGGCTACATGTCGCCCACCCACGAAGACGAATACCTCCTCGCTACCGACCAACTCCTCGAGCAGCCCGGCTTCGACCAGGCCCTCCAGCAGGGCCGCCCCGTCCGCCTCGCATCCGCCCAGCCCCCGCTCAGCGAAAAGGACCTCACCGTGCGCAACCCAGACAGCGTCTACAACTGGCTGCGCAAGCACCAGCCCCAAGTCTTCCTGCAAGACAAGGACGCGGCGCATCACGAGAACCTCTCCGAAAAGTCTGCCGCGCCAAAGACCAGCAAGGCCAACGCAACCAAGGTCAAACGCGAGTCAAACATTGGCGGCGGCGGCACACCCGCTCCCCGCGACCACGATGACGAAGACTCAGCAGCCCCCGAAACCGGCAAGGGACGACGCAAGACTGGTGGTGGCGATGACGACACCGCCTACCGACCCAAGGGTGGAAGCTCCCGTCCCGCAAAGCGTAAGCGGGAAGAGGGCGAAACGCCTGCGGGTAAAGGCAGCAGGAAGAAGAGTCGCCCCAGCGCGGTCACAGGACAAGCTGCTTGACCTGCCTGCTAACAGCGCGCATAGAAGAGATGGCCTATCGAGCTGGGGTATGCACTCATTGCGTGCGCAGTTATGATAGCAAGACCTCGTACACATGCAACGTACGGATCCACGCTGAGAACGCTTCCGTAGCCATCCCTTGTAAGACGTGCATGCGCCGTGGCATCGAGTGCATTGTCGATCCTCTCAATACCGGAATCATGGATACATCCGTTTAACATCGTCGCAAAAATCATGTTGGAATTGGGTATGGCGTTATAGGGAAATACTGGCGTAACGATGGGTCAACTATACCCTTGGGAGATTATTCCCGGAAATTGTATCAACAGGCGTTTTGACAGCTGGAGATAAACTGGATATATGGGTATCATCCACACACGACAGCTCAGAAAGATGCTGTTTCCAATGCGTATCTGTACAACAATCAAACATTTCATATTCATACATCAACGTTTATTTCAACCACACTACCTCAGCGGCTTCCCCCTCGCACCCCCCACCATAACCGTCTCCGGCGCCTTGCCCGCCTCACTCATAAACGGCAAGCTCGTCTCAAGCACCTTGCTCCCATCCACCAGCAACCCATTCCCCTTCCTCTGATCCTCAAGATACGCCGTCTTCGCCCTCTTCTCCTCCAGATATTGTTTCCTCTCCTTCGTCAACACCCATTCCTTGGGGAACTCCGCCCGTTTCTTCGGCGTATGATGTCTGAAATCAAACGGCACGTCTTCAAACGTATCCTTTCCTTCCTTCGCTTCTTTAATGATGGCAGACAGGGTTTCGCCTAGGAACCGCTTGTTCTGCGCCTGGGTATCGAATTTCTCGCACGAGAGCTTGACGATGTTGGTGGAGGGGTTGTAGCGGGGTCCGGCGAGTTTGATTACTTTGGAGACTTGTTGGGCGGTGAGGGAGTGCGAGGCGGAGAGGTCGTTGGGCGAGAACTCGACGACGACTTTGTTGGCGGCGGGGTGCGATTCCCCGAGGTAGGAGGTGTAGCGGAAGCGGAAGGGGGTTGTGGATGTGGGGGGTTCGAAGGGGCGGGCGAGGTCTGGGGAGGTGTTAGTACAAATGTTGCGTTCTCTTGTCTAGTTGGATTGTATGGTAGACGTACGGCTCAAGAGAGGTAACTCCCACGCAATCAACCGCGCGTACTCTCTCAACTCGCGATGCTGCTCCAACTCTCCGTGTCCGTGACTTGTCAAGTCGTCGCCGTAGTAATCCTCGTCTGGTCCCATGCTCTCTTCTCCTTCAGCCCAAAATCCCGTAGATACCTTCCTCTTATCGTCTTCCTCAATATCAAAGTCTTCGTCTGTTTCCAGGCCAAAGTCTTGGGTTTGCGGTAGACCACGTTTACCCTTTCGGAGGGCGTCGCGGACAACGTTCGGATCGATCTCTGCAAGGGAAACGCGGAGGTTCTCCAACATGGCGGATTCGCGCTCTTGCGGTGTCATATCTTGGAATGCCTTTGACTGCGTAGTGTTCGAAAACGAGGATTGAGGTAATTCCGGGGCCAACTCGTCCAGAGTCTCAGTCGGTTTCTTCGCATCCGCAGCGGTTACGGAGCCCTCTTTCGTGGGTTCGTTGGCGTACCGCCGCGGCGTTGTGGATATTGGCCGTTGCCATTGTGCGGATGTGTGTTTCGGTGCGGCGAGCGTTCGTATCCGCGAGGGGCATTGGCGTGACTGCAGCAGCAGTCTTCGTGGTATTGACGCCATTGGATGTGGTTGGGCGGGTGATGCTGTCGTCGACTTTTCGCGATGCAGGAATGGCTTGGCGATGGGGTGCAAAGTGTGGCCGTGCGTTGGACCAATTGGAACTAAGATGGCCCCGACCTTCGCCGCTGTCCTGGCATCGTGACCATCTTGACGCCGACTTGATTTCGACTTTTGGCTCTGATCTCGAGGGCCGTTGATGGATGGACTGATCACGCTCACCCGTTACTATCACTCGTTATCTTGACATCCATCGCATCCACCATGGCTTGGAACTGGACGCCTGATTCGAAGCTCTGCTTCGTGACTACCGGAGCAACGGCGCCATTCACCGAGCTCATTGAATCAGTGCTGAGTCCAACGTGTCTGGATTCACTACGCGAAGGAGGATTTACTCATCTCTTGGTCCAATATGGATCTGCCGAGGACGTGTACAAACAGTTCTCCAAACTCGCTTCAGCATATATACAGGAGAACCCGTCCAAAGGGACCCTCGTCATAGATGGCATAGATTTCAACCCAGATGGACTCAAAACCCAGTTCCAGTTGGTGCAGCGGTCGAAGGGTTTGGTTATTTCACATGCTGGTACTGCACAGCCATTTCATTTGGTCGATTCATCTAACGATGCATAGGATCTGGGTCTATCCTCGAAGCACTTCGCTACCAGATCCCACTCATCGTTGTGCCCAATACTGGACTACTTGATAACCACCAAGAGGAGCTCGCCGTTGCAATGGAACGGAACAATTACCTCGTTCGTGGGGATGTGAAGTACGATGATGCTTCAGATTAGTGGTAACTTGGACTGATCGATATCTAGGAATCTCGCGCCTGCGATCAAGAAGTCAGACGATTTCAGACTCAAAATGTCGCAATTCCCACCCATGACCAGTGGGAAGCATCGTGAGACTAAGAGCTTCGCGGCCATCATGGACGAGACGACGGGTTATATGGATTGATGCACCCTTCATCAACACCTGCTTTATTTGTGTTCGCGGAAGAACTCGAATTATGAGAGACTTGAGCCCTGTCCCGATGCTTGGGAGAAGGCCTACTGTTCGGCATATTTGGAGTCTTGAATACTCCGTTCTCAACCCACGGTACTTCCAACCTGGATACGACTGAGGAAGAAGCAGGAATATGTCGCTATCTCAGAGAATGACATTCGTCACATTGCGGTACCATGTCGCTCTTGCAATGTATCGATGCGGCAGGACGTACCATAAGGACCAGGTGGACACGGTTGGAATCTGCGTCACCTGTCACTTCCATTGGGTCACGGCGTGGAACCGAGACTGGTTGCTCCGGATGTCTATTGTGGTAGTCGCTTCCCCTTCGCTCTTCATGCGGGTTTGCGACTGCCCGGTATTACACTGTATACATGTCTATGACGTTTGTACCTGAGCTTTACAGATCCTACCCTTCTGGCTTGTACTACCCTCTTCACTCGTTCACTTTCAAAACACCACTTGGTCATTTCGTTCGACCTTCCTTCTCTGCTTTACTGCACCTCGATATTCTGGCGCAGATACAGCAAACAATTCAATCCACACCCAATCCAGCATGCGTACGCAGTCCTTCATCACAACGCTGCTAGCAGCTGTGGCTTCCGTTGTAGCAGCCGCGCCTAGGTGGGCACCCTTCCGTACCAGCCCAGTCTTGTAGGCTTACTGTATCTGTAGTACCCTTCACGGCCGAAGCGTCGCCTTTGACTGGGGTACCGAGAAAGTGCGAGGCGTCAACATTGGCGGTTGGCTCGTCGTGGAGCCGTAAGCAAGCCAATACGCATTGTTTGCTCCGCCTGACACTGCCAGGTTCATCACACCATCCATCTTCGAGGTGTACGACTCAGAAGAATGGCCAGTCTTTGACGAATGGACGCTTTGCGAGCGACTGGGCTACGATGCTTGTGCCGATGTGCTGAAGCAACATTGGGATAACTTCGTCTCATTGGACGACTTTTGGAAGATCAAGAATTCCGGCTTCAACGTCGTGCGCATTCCCGTCGGCTACTGGAGGTGAGACTTCCTACAATTCCACCATGCAACCCCACTAACGGCACATCTCATAGCTACGTGGAGCCCTGGGGCCCTTACATCGCCGGTGCTGCTCCCTATCTTGACGCCGCAATCGACTGGGCGCGCCAAACCGGTCTCAAGATCATCATTGACCTCCACGGCGCACCCAAATCCCAGAACGGCTTTGATCACAGCGGCCACACATCATCTTGGCCATCCTGGGGCGACGCCGAGAGTCTGAGCCACACACACGCTGCACTCAGCGTGATCTCACAAAAGTACGCCAAACCAGAGATGCAAGATGTCGTTATCGCCATCCAATTCCTCAACGAGCCTTTCCTACTGAAGCTCGATCGGGAGATGGTCAAACAATTCTACAACGACGCGTATTGGAGCCTACGAGATATTAGCGACACACCCGCCATGATGCACGATGGCTTTGAGAACCCGTCTTGGCTGAACGACTTCCTGACTACCAAGGATGGTGCGAGCAATGTGATTGTGGATCACCATGAGTACCAAATCTTTGGCGACGGTGTCAACGGCATGTCCATCGACCAACACATCGCTCTTGCGTGTAACTCTGTATGTCACAGGCTCTCTGCCATCGCACCGGTAAACATCTACTAACCCCTTCCTTCCAGGTCAGCAACTACGACAGCTCCGACAAATGGACCAGTAAGCCCCTCCCCTCCATCCCCTCCCATCCGCACACTAACCCCCCTACCCCAGTCGTAGGCGAATGGTCCGGCGCCTTCACAGACTGCGCCCCGCACCTCAACGGCTTCCACCTGGGCTCCCGCATGGAAGGCAGTTTCCCCGGCTCCTACTACATCGACACCTGCGCCGGCAAATCCGGTCCTGTCTCCTTGTGGTCTCAAGACTGGAAGAACAGCGTCCGTCGCTATATCGAAGTTCAACTCGATGCGTACGAGGCCAAGACCAAAGGATGGATCTTTTGGAACTTCAAGACTGAGGGGGGCGCGGGCGAGTGGGATCTGTTTCAGTTGATTGATGGGGGCGTTTTTCCGCAGCCGTTGGAGAGTAGGTGGTTTGAGAGGGCTTGTGATAACTTTTGAGTGGAGTTGAGGGGTGTGGGAGGAGACGGGTGTAATGTTGTGAGAGACGGGTGATGGGGTATGAGGTGGTACTTGTGTATGGGTATGTGGCATCTTAGTGGGTATGTACTGACATCGCATGTTGATATGAAAAAACCGGTTGGACATCATACCCGTCTTCTCCTGATACGTAACCCATTTCCCGCTCTCTCGTGATATTCGTTGGCGAAACATGTGTATCGCCTGAATGTACTCGTGGACTAATCACACATTTTCTAAGACCAGCCACTCGTTCACGCTAACTCCACGATATATAACCTGCTCCAGATCCCCACCACGAAAGACCGTATCCCGCCATTTATTTTCCTTATTATATAAAACTTTATATACGTCCAGATATAATGGTTGCAAGACGAGGTCTGCCCTGTTAGTTTTGTCGACTACTGCTACGAAACCCATGACTTCTGTCGACACTACCTGCAATCTTATATATATAACGCCACGACCAGAATTGTGCCATGCAATTCGGATCGACACTCCCAGACCTTCGTTGCGAGACAATCTAGTCCGACAACCCTGATGTAACCGGGCCGGTGCCATTTGTATGGCATCCTAGCAATTGAGTCCGTAAGCTCTTCTGTTCCACAAAAAGGCGATTGAGCTGACGGTAATAGGTTTCCTCGAGCTGAGCACGGTTTCACCATGTCACTCGATGTATACTGTGCGAGAAAACGAAACGGCTCACAATGACAAGTCTCGCGGACAGGCACTCTGTCGCGTTTTACTCTGCGCGTGGTTCCTATATATATATATACACCCGGATTCCAGTGCATTCGCCTGTTGGCTCATGTTGCGGAACGCTGCTCGCATCGTCACTCGATAGCTGGATGAGTTTCCTGTCATTCAATTCACCAGTTGAACGGACTGTTCACGCCGTCAGCCAAGATTCAAGATCGACAGCCGACAGTCTTGACGTTCCTCCACGATGCGGTGCGTGCTGTCGTGGGCTCCGCCATTACACCGGATGAAGTTGATGTGGGGACTTATTTAGCTATGAAGATGTCGAGGCTGAGAAAGCGGGAAGCGAACATGTGCTACATGATTCCCCTTCGTTATATATACGCGCACTCGCCGCGCTGCACGACTGTATGCGAAAGCCGGTACGTATCCCCATTCTATTCGATCGCCCGCGGATGCAAAATATGCTGGCCCTGTACGTTGGAAGGCGATGGGAACTGACACCTGCTCAGATCATACGAATAACGGCTCCACGATACAGAATGTACCGTTCGAGCGTGCAGTGCTGGGTTCACTGGGAGGACAAGGTGCCTCAATGGCCACCATTGGATGATTTTGTCCGTCGTGCCCGACTCGCCAACGAAAGGTCACAATGTTGAGCAACGACCGGCAGAATATATACACCTGGCAAGTGTACTTCGCGATTGCAGTCCTGCAATTTGCGAGGGGAACATGCACGATTGACCGTGGACTTCCTCACCCACCGGGACTGCGACGACACAGCGACGAGGCGCCCACGATTGCCGCATCACTCAACCATCCCAAACACCAGTGTACTCTCGAATGCAAAGATCGCAACGAGAGACTTGCTTCAAAACCGAATACTCGACGCGTGCTTTCCTCAGCACTCCATTACGAGAACAATATGCAAGTCCAACGCGCAAACTCTGCTCGTCAGAAAAATTGTCCTGCAAGGAGAAAGTTTCTGATACACAACCCTGCTGCGATCACAAAGTCCAGAACCGCACATCGTCATCTCGTGCTCTCCGCACATCCGTCATTTACTATTTTTGCGCCGTGCGCACCGGAAGACGTGGGCTTCCCCGCTCGCCTCGAGCACCACGGCCCTCCTCTTTGTCCGCATTGCGTGTCTATGTTGCGTGCTCGGATCTCCCGAATCTTATCGGACAGACGCTCGGAGAGGAGGGTTGATGCGGCATGTGAAGTTGTAATGGATAGGAAGAAATCCAACAGTTTAAAGTGTACGGAATTCCGTACTGAAGACGCGCAGCGAATGAAGGTCGCTCCCACTGCCGCACATGCTGACGTGAAGTACCGAGCCAATTGCCTCGGTTTCCACGGAATCTTAGTCGTTTAGTGCTGATTGCCGGTGCCGCGCTCGCTAGTTAGGGCCTGGGAACTGCAGCAACCAGCACAACGGTTTTGCGCCAAGGACTGGGTATTCGAGCAAAGCTAGGGCTAAGGTTATTAATTAAATCTACTTGCAAGCCTCTAATAGTCCCCCCCTATTACCTTTAACTAGTCCTTATCTTAGAACTTCTCTTAGTACTCTATTTCTTAAATAAATTTTATAACGCTGCTAGAGTACTATAGTTAGATTTATAAGTTCTCTAGTTTAGACTAAAGTACTAGTAAATAGCTAATAATTCTATCTAACTTTATAAATTTACGTATACGTATTACACTTAAGTTAGCGTTAAGAAAGTAGAGTAACTACTTCTTATTAAATCTTTTTAGTACTAGCTCTTAAGTTATATAGTAGTACTAATAAGTATTATTATAGAAGTAAGTATAGCGTAAAATAGTATTAGCGTAAGTAATAAGCGCTGTAAAGTAGTTAGAGTATAAGTTAATTTTTTAAAGTTAGATCTAGTATTATATAAAGAAGTAGAATTTAACTTACTTATATAGCTATATTTATAGTATCTTATATTAGTATAGATCTATAAGAAGATTTTTTTAAATATTTATAGTCTATTCTAACTAGGCTGCAGTAGTAATATAACTAATAGTTACTTTAAGTAGTATACTAGTTTTTAGTAAAGAGAGCTAACAATAACCTTGGCGACCAATTTTGGGCTGTCACTGGGCAAGGCGTGGTCTTCACCCCTTCTTTTTTGATTC